CACGGCATTCCCACCACTAGATGGATCCGAGGAGGAAATTCCTCTCCCACTCCGCTGAGGGAAGATGAATGTAAGCGGCTCATCAGAACCACTTTGGTGGAGAAGCCATTCAGGTCATCGGTTGTCACTCAACCACACAGCCGTTCTGATGTCATTCCGCGCCCGCCTGCTGTACACGCCTCCTTCTGTATTCAGTCAGCAGTGATGTCACTTTTGAGATGTTGAAGGATCATAAAAACAAAAACAGAGGCTGGAAGTGCTAAGATGAAGGAGGCTCACAGTAAGCAGAGCTCATAGGAGACCAACAGGCAGTATGCAGCCCATAAACAGGAAGGGAGAAAACTCCATTCCACCAAATACTCTGACAGTCTGGGCATACGTCCATATGTGTGCCACTTTTCCATGTAACCAGACCTGAACTGCCAAGCTTCTATCTCCTCTGTGTCTCTGACCGGCCCAAGTGCACCGCGCATGATGCCACAGATGGAAATAAACACCAGACAGAAATTGTACCTCCTCTCACTCCATCCAAAACTGGAAAAAAACTTTGGCTGGAGTTAGGGTCTAGGCAAAGCCCATTTTTTTTTAAAGGGAAGGGTTAAATGTTCCGTTCCTTTTTTGTGGTCTGCTTCCTGTTTAAGAGATTTTCTTTCACTTCCTGTCCCAGAGACACAACAGGAAGTGAGAAGAAATATCTACGAAGTGAGGGGAAATCTTCTCAGTTGTCACCAGAACAGGTGTCCCCATTGGAAGAAGTTCCCTTTATTTCAGTTCTAAGAAGGGATTTCCCATCACTTCCTGTCTTGGTGACAAAGGTCATCAGGACACATAGAGAGGGGGAATCTCCCCAGACACAACCACAGATCACAATGAAACCTGACAGAGGTTCTAACCCCTCCCCCACTGCATCCAACACTAGACAATAAAACATTTGGGCTGTAAATAAGCTTTACATTGAAGATTACATTTCATCCCAAAGCTAATCATTGATATGAAGCCACCACTGACCCCGATCCTTATAGATGGTCAGATATCTCCCCAAGAACAGCAGACAAGGAGATATCTGACCATCAACTAACAGTCCATTATGACTATCACCAACACTGGCAGAGGCGCATCACGTGTGGCACTTTCCGTCCTTCACACTCTCCTCCACAGAAGGATCGTCATCCACAAGCTGGAACATCGTCCTCCAACTGTCCCATCATCCCCTCCGGCCGTGCAGAGAAGACATTATCATTGGTGGCCATGATCATAATCAGAAACATATTTTCCTTCCATTGTGCCGTCTATGGCCGTCCTCGATCTCCACCGAACTCCGTAACCCAACAGCTACACCTAATAATAATCCTGACATAACGTGTCATCACAATAAAAATGGCCATCACACCGATAAAGCCACCAGAGCCCCATAGAAGACTCAGGAACGTACTGCGCCACACCTTCTGTGTCTACAAATCCGGCACCCAAATCATCGATCAGAGAACCACCGATCCACAAGATCCGGATGTCGGCCTGCAGCAGACACCAACTCATTAGAGACGGCCTCCAGGTTTCTATCTTTGGTTCCTTTAAAGAAAATGTATTCTGCTTTTTATATTTTATTATTTTGGGTGAATTGATTTAGTCAGATAAATATAACATATTACAGATGTGGATTTCAGATTTGCCGCTTGCAGACATATGAGGTCGTAGGACAGCTGTTACCAAGAAGCAGAGCTGAGGGACAGGGACATCAGACTACACACACACACAGGTTTACCCTGCTCAAGTAACATGGACCATGAGTCGGAGGTCACCAGGAACAGTCCAAAAGTCAGGGCTGGCTGTAGACAGACATAGGTGGTCAAGAGCAAGGCAGAGGTCATTAAACAAGAATCAATGGAAGATGCAGCAGATAACCAGAAACATGCCAGAAGTCGGTACATGTGAATCAATGGAGGACACCGGTTGGATACTATGGGCTCAGCAGGTAGTTTGCTAAAGCGTCGTTGGGGCAGGGACGAACCAGGAGCTTGAAGGTTCTCAAGTGCACACCTTCTTCATTTATCATGGAGAGCCTCAATACTGCTGACAAACCATACATTCGCCCATCGTGTTAGTTTTAAGGTGGTATTTTTTAAACAAATTAATAAAATGTGCACGTGAGAGCCTTCAATAAGGTGTAAGATACCATTAAGTATTGGAGTCTAGCGATGTCTTGTGACCAGCCATATTTACATGGTGCATAACATTTCCTGCTATACTTTGTTGGTGCACCAGAAGTAGGGTTGCCACCTGTCCAGGATTCACCCGGACAGTCTGGGTTTTAAATGCTGTGTCCGGGTTTCATGGCAGCAGAAACCCGGACACAAGATGTCAGGCAGACAGGGGCAACCAAAATTAAGATAGGGGCTACTGGCCCCCCACTAAAAATAGTCTCAACTGTAATATTTACAGTACATATGAATGGGTGGCGCTATTTACAGGACTCATTCTCCTAAAAAAAAGTCTGCGCGTTGCTAGAGTGTTCAGGTTTCGCTTAAAGAAAAGGTGGCAACCCTAACAAGAAGATCTACATATACCGTATTTTTCGCTCCATAAGACGCACTCCCCCCCCCCCCCCAAAAAAAGGTGGGGAAAATGTGTGTGCGTCTTATGGAGTGAATCCCTATTGCCCGACGGCCAGAACATGCAGTTTCGGCCGCCGGGGCGAATAGCTTGTTGCAAAGCAGAGCTAAATGTACAGTGGGAGCCGCTGCTCGTTTGATACAAGTGATCTATTCAGATCACTTGTATTAAAACCGAGCGGCAATCGAGCCCGGGCCTTCCCCCCCGCTCCTCTGGGGGACCCGTGACCACGGGATAGGAGCTCACCATAGAGCCCGTCCGTCCGTTCTTCCTCTGTTCTATGTGATCACTGAGACCGTGGCGCTGTAATCACAGCGCCACCTATCTCAGCGATCACTAACTTACGGATCCTGCTCTGCTCTTCACTAAGCACCTGGACTCCAGCTTGCACGGCGTAATCACAACTGGCACCCGTGCCACTTGCTGTCTGCTTGGACTCCGTCCCCAACTCCAGAGTGCTCGGGACACGAGGTGCAAAGGAGGCCTCCTCACACATTCAGTCTCCAACCAGGTCCGTGACATTATTACCACTTTCTGTTGTATCTCCATGGACTAGGGGTACTGTATGAGATATTAGTGGAACAGAGAGAAATTGATTGCAGGATTCACAGCAGTTTTTGCCCTCGACTTCATATATTTTAAAAATTAGAGAGTATTATCTAAAAAAAAAAAAATTGTCTCAAATATTGTTGAGTGGCTGGACACCAAGTAAGCAGCTTGGTTAGGCCACAATGAAAGAGGGAGACATGAGGCAGATTTTATCCTGAAATAAACATTAGAGTGTATTGTTTCAGAGATAATAGCCACAAAAATTGTTCAGTGACTTGGCAGTATGTAAGCAGCTTGGTTTACCTACAATGTAAGAGGGAGAGATGAGGCAGTTATTATCCTGAAATAAATATTAGATTGTATTATGTCTGAGACAATAGCCATAAAACGTGTGCAGTGGCTTGACAGTACTGTATGTAAGCAGCTTGGTTTAACCACAATGTAAGAAGGAGAGATGAGGCAGATTTTATCCTGAAACAAATATTAGAGTGTATTTTATTTCAGAGATAATAGCCACAAAAAGTGTTCAGTGGCTGGACAGCATGTAAGCAGCTCGGTTAAGCCACAATGTAAGCGGGAGAGATGAGGCAAATTTTATCCTGAAATAAACATTAGAGTGTATTATTTCTGAGACAATAGCCATAAAAGGTGTGCAGTGGCTGGACAGCATGTAAGCAGCTTGGCTAAGCCACAATGTAAGAGGGAGAGATGAGGCAGCTTTTATCCTGAAACAAATATTAGAGTGCATTTTATTTCAGAGACAATAGCCACAAAAAGTGTTCAGTGGCTATACAGTATGTAAACAGCTTTTTAAGGTTGCAATGTACACGGCAGAGACAAGACAGATTTTACCTTGAAATAAACATTAGAGTGTATTATTTCAGCGACAATAGCGACAAAAGGTGTTCAGTGGCTTGGCAGTATGTAAGCAGCTTGGCTTACCCACAATGTAAGAGGGAGAGATGAGGCAGCTATTATCCTGAAATAACCATTAGAGTGTATTATTTCTGAGACAATAGCCATGAAAAGTGTGCAGTGGCTTGGCAGTATGTAAGCAGCTTGGTTTAGCTACAATGAAAGAGGGAGAGATGAGGCAGCTTTTATCCTGAATTAAATATTAGAGTGTATTATTTCAGAGAGAATAGCCACAAAAATTGCTCAGTGGCTTGGCAGTATGTAAGCAGTTTGGTTTAGCCACAATGTAATAGGGCGAGATGAGGCAGATTTTATCCTGAAATAAACATTAGAGTGTATTATTTCAGAGATAATAGCCACAAACATGGTACAGTGGCTTGGTGGCATGTAGGCCTCTTGGTAAGGCCACAATGTAAGAGGGAGATATGAGGCAGCTTTTTATCCTGAAATAAATATTAGAGTGTATTATTTATTAATTTTCTGATTGGTTTCTCTTTTTTATGAATCAGTGTGAATGTTAATTTTAGCTATTTTTTTTTTTTAGTTTCTTTACTATATACCCTTTCTTATCTATACTGATATTCACCATGAGAATACCATATACATCTTCTATAGTCACATAGTCTTACGCTATTTTATGTTCTTTGTTCCTATGCCCTATGGAAGAGGGACGTTCGAACCCCAAAACACATTTGCTATTTCCTTGTACAGTAAAATGAACTGGACACCTAGTGGTGCTGTGGAGCTGTCATGTATTTGTATATTAACTCCCCGTGACTAAAGGAGGGTGTAGCAGGAGAATCTTGTGAAGGGGAGGAGTGAATAACAGCATATTTCACAATCTGAATAGAAATGTACATATTCAGTCACACTGGGTAACGAGTGTCAGAGACTTTCACTGTCACTTCTCTATTCTGCTGTCAGCGATGGCGTCTGCTGATCTGGGAGCTGAGCTGGAATGCTCCGTCTGTCTGAAAATTTCGACAGATCCCGTAACCCCGAAATGTGGACACAATGTCTGCCAGGACTGCATTGGTGGTGTGCTGGATACACAGGAGGGGTCTGGCGGTTATTCCTGTCCTGAGTGTAATCAAAGGTTTGAGAAACATCCTGCCCATCAGGAGAATCTGAAAGTGCCTAACATTGTGGCTCCAAAACCAGATCAGGAGGAGTCCGGGGTCCTCTGTACTCAGTGTTATCACGCTCCTGTACCTGCTGTGAAATCCTGTCTGATGTGTGAAGCTTCTCTGTGTGACAACCACCTGAGAGTCCACAGCAAGGCACCAGAACACGTCTTATGTGACCCCACCACTTCCCTGGAGAACAGGAAATGCTCCGTCCATAAGAAGATCCTGGAGTATTACTGCACTGAGGACTCTGCCTGTATCTGTGTGTCCTGTTGTCTGATTGGAGGACATAAAGGACATCAGGTGGAGTCACTGGATGAAGCCTCTGAGAAGAAGAAGAAGAAACTTAGAAATGTTCTGCAGAAACTGATGACAGAGAGAGAGGAGACGGAGAAAATAGTCCAGAGTCTGGAGGCACACAGGAGGAAAGTAGAAGGAGAAGCAGCCGGTGAAACAGAGAGAGTCATTGCCCTGTTCAGAGACCTCAGGAGACGTCTGGAGGACCTGGAGAAGAGAGTCCTGAGTGTGATCTCAAGGAGGGAAGAGCAAGCTTTACTCTCTGATCTGATCCTGCAGCTGGAAGTAAAGAAGGACGAGGTGTCCAGGAAGATGCGTCACATTGAGGAGCTGTGTAACATGACGGATCCACTGACTGTCTTACAGGAATCAGACACAGGTGACTTGTGTGATACTGAGGATGGAGATGATGAGGACAGAGAGAGACATGATGAACTCCTCCATGATGGAGGGGATCTGGATGTGGCTGGGATCTCACACACATTACACACAGGTATATCTGATATCATGTCTGGGGTAATTGTACAGGAAGGTCCAGGCACACATGTCTATCCACATTCTAGTACAAAGGGCAAAGGTCACATCACTGCTGAACCATCCAGGCCACGCCCCCGACCCACCCCGACCGTACAACACTCACACCTCCAGGCTGGAGGACCAAATATTGGGGCTGTGCAGCAAACATCGGGGGTGTCGGGGGTTACAGACATATTACTGGATGAGAACACAGCCAGTAATTATCTACAGATATCAGATGACAGGAAATCTGCATCAAAGTCAGATATAAATCAGAATCGTCCAGAAACTCCGGAGAGATTTCAGTATTATCCTCAGGTGTTGAGCAGTCGGAGTTTCTCCTCAGAGCAACATCACTGGGAAGTGGATGTCGGGGGGTCAGATAGCTGGATAGTCGGCATGTGTTACCCCAGTATAGAGAGGAGAGGAGGTCAGTCAGAGATTGGAGATAATAAGAAGTCCTGGGGTTTGCAGAGGAGATGGGGTTGTAATCAGTACTCAGTGACACATGACAGGAAGGAGATCCGAGTACCCGGCAATATCTCCATAAACATTGTCAGGATAGAGCTGGATTATGAGGCCGGGCGGATCTCCTTTTATGAACTGTGTGACCCGATCCGACTCCTCCACACCTTCACCACCACCTTCACTGAGCCCCTCTATGCCGGGGTATATGTCTTGAGAGGTTGTATAAGGATATGTGGCAGGAATCATATGGAAGGGATCAAATGGAAGGACTGCTGATCACAGAGCGGAGAATCTGATTGGTGGAATACTGAGCCAATTGGAGGAAGCAGTGGAAAGGAGCAATTGTTGTTGACTTGTTTATAAAGTTGCTGGCTTCAAAGCCGTCATCCTCATCCTCATCTAGTGAGCCACTGACCAGGAACAAGCATGCAGGAATTCAGGCTTCACTGGCTGCACGCTTGTTCCAGGTGAGTGACACACTTGGTAGTGAAGCCAGGATCAGGATGACAGCTCTAGACGTTCTTCTCATAACCTTCTAATAATATTCTCATAACGTTCTTCTCATCACATTCTTATAATATTCTCATAACGTTCTTCTCATCACATTCTTATAATATTCTCATAACGTTCTTCTCATCACACTAAATTTAAACATGTTCACATTGGAGGTGAGGAGATTAAGGGGGGATATGATTTCCATGTACAAAATGTTCAATGGTGACGGCAACATTAGCGATAAACTGTTTAAAATTAACTCCATTACAAAAAGTAGAGGCCACCACCTAAAATTGGTGGAAACAAATTTCCAGCACAAGGGGCGAAGGGGGTTCTTCACAGTGAGAGCGGGTAGTGTCTGGAACTCACTGCCACAGGCAGTGATTTCAGCAAAAAATGTGGAACTGTTCAATAAACTTTTGGACAATTTTTTAAGGGACCGTAATATACAGGGGTACGGGTAATATACAGGGGTACAAGTACTCCTAAGAATGAGATCCTATAGGTTGGACTTGATGGACTAATGTCTTTATCCAACCTCAAATACTATGTAACTATGTAACACTCTCATAACATTCTTATAATATTCTCATCACGTTCTTCTCATAGTGTTTTCATAACGTCCTTCTCATACTATTCTCATAACGTCCTTCTCATACTATTCTCATAACGTTCTTCTCATACTATTCTCATGACGTTGTTCTCATAGTGTTTTCATAACGTTCTTCTCCTAACGTTCTTCTCATAATGTTCTCATAATGTTTATCTCATAATGTTCTTCTCATAGTGTTCTCATAACGTTCTTCTCATAGTGCTCTCATAACGTCCTTCTCATACTATTCTCATAACGTTCTTCTCATAATGTTCTCATAACATTTATCTCCTAATGTTCTTCTCACAGTGTTCTCATAACGTTCTTCTCTTAGTGTTCCCATAACGTTCTTCTCATAATGTTTTCATAACATTTATCTCATAATGTTCTTCTCATAGTGTTCTCATAACGTTCTTCTCTTAGTGTTCTCATAACGTTCTTCTCATAATGTTCTCATAACATTTATCTCATAATGTTCTTCTCATAGTGTTCTCATAACGTTCTTCTCTTAGTGTTCTCATCATAACATTCTCATCATAGTGTTCTCATAACGTTCTTCTCATAGTGTTCTCATAACGTTCTTCTCATAGTGCTCTCATAACGTCCTTCTCATAATGTTCTCATAACATTTATCTCATAATGTTCTTCTCATAGTGTTCTCATAACGTTCTTCTCTTAGTGTTCCCATAACGTTCTTCTCATAACGTTCTTCTCATAATGTTCTCATAACATTTATCTCATAATGTTCTTCTCATAGTGTTCTCATAACATTCTTCTCTTAGTGTTCCCATAACGTTCTTCTCTTAGTGTTCCCATAACGTTCTTCTCATAATGTTCTCATAACATTTATCTCATAATGTTCTTCTCATAGTGTTCTCATAATGTTCTTCTCTTAGCATTCTCATAACGTTCTTCTCATACTATTCTCATAACGTTCTTCTCATAATGTTCTCATAACATTTATCTCATAATGTTCTTCTCATAGTGTTCTCATAACATTCTTCTCTTAGTGTTCCCATAACGTTCTTCTCTTAGTGTTCCCATAACGTTCTTCTCATAATGTTCTCATAACATTTATCTCATAATGTTCTTCTCATACTATTCTCATAACGTTCTTCTCATAATGTTCTCATAACATTTATCTCATAATGTTCTTATCATAGTGTTCTCATAATGTTCTTCTCTTAGTGTTCTCTTAACGTTCTTCTCATAACATTCTTCTCATAGTGTTCTCATAACGTTCTTCTCATAGTGTTCTCATAACGTTCTTCTCATAATGTTCTTCCCATAATAAACAGGAAACACAAAAACCAGCGCGCCTCCCTTGTGTTGAAGTCTTTATTCATTGAATAGTAAAAGCAAGAAATGTACTCACAAAACAGCCGGTATTTGAGAGCCAATGACAGAAGTTTCGTCAGCACTGTGAGAACATCGCACAGCATGCAACATTCAGACTGGAGTACACGTCCTTCTTACTGCATGACAGCCTCGGTTAATGCGTTTCTGGGGCGACGCCCCCTTCTTCAGAGGTTCTGAGGAAGGCGCACTGTTTTTGTGTTTCCTATTTGCTAGATTTACAGACACCCTGACTGTCAAGGTGCTGCCTACCTGTGGAAAGTCGTTGCTCTTGCAGCCTCTGAGATGGAGTTTTGGTGCTAGTGATATCTACTCTTTGTTCTTATTATATAGTTCTCATTCCTCTCCCACTTCTCCTAGCTTGCCGTCCAAGTCACACAGTGAATGTTTGCTGGACATTCACCCATCTGAAGCTTCCAGAATTCACCCATCATTTTCAAAAAGGATTCGCCCAACACATTTCCCAAGATTTAGCCATCACAAACAACATAACGGAGATAGTATTCTGGGTGAATCCTCTTGATCCGTAAAATACAGACGGACGAATGTCCAGCACTGCCCAGCAAGCTAAGAGAGGAGGGGGAGGAAGGAGTTTTTTTTCTGGCTCATTACGTTTAAACGAGAGCTCATGAATGGATAAATAATTAGTAGGGATGCACCGATACCAATATTTCGGCATTGAGTACGACTAACGATTTTTTTCCCCCGGTACTTGGCCATGCCATATACTGATACCGGCATCCTGAGGTAGCGTGGGCGGTTGCCTGGAAGCCGATGTTCTATTGAAAGCACACTGGCTTCACGCTCGCCCTCACAACACTGGGAGGCAGACTGGCTTCCTGACCAATAGGGTAGCTGGGTGGTAAGTCTTGACCCGCCTCCGGATTGGTCAGGAAGCCAGGCTTCCTCGCAGTGTCACTAGGCAGCATGAAGCCAGCTTCCAAGCCAATCAGGACGCTGGCCATGACGTGTCGCTGGGCTTACTGATTGGTCAGGAAACCAGGCTGCCTTGCAGTGTTGCTAGGCAGCGTGGAGCCGGCTTTCTAACCAATCAGGAAGCCGAGCGGCGGGTCATGACGGAATGAGGGAATCTCTCTCTGACCGGAAGTTCCGGTATCGGAGAACGAGTACTCGCTCAAATGCTCAGTATCGGCACCGATACCGATACCAGTATCGGTGCATACCTAATAATTACAATTTGAAAGTTCTAATCATCGTGTTACCGAACAGCACCGACTCTCCCAGCTCCGCTTCCCTGAACTTCCTGATCAGTACACGATCACAAGGGATAGAGCAGTCTCCAGCAGCCATCCGTCTACTAGCTTGGAAAACGAAGGAAGGAACAGAGAGAAGAGAGGAAGGAGGAGTGGTGAGCAGGTGGGAAAGGAGTGGCTTGTCTTGCTGTGCCTGTGCATTTGTGGAGACACACACACACAGCTTACTAGCACACACAAGGGTGGCTCCATAGGACCCTGCAAGGGAAAGGAGCCCCCCCCCCTGGACCCTGCAAGGGAAAGGCGCCCCCCCCCCCCCTAAAAGAGAATATCAGGGCCATTGCCCAGGGGACCTGCAGGAAGCTAAAACTTTTACACATCAAAAGAGCAGCATCTATTGTAAGTGGTTTCATCAGAATATGACAAAGCTGGAAATCCTTTTGAAATCACTTTACTATTAGGATTTAGTAAAATAAAGATTTAATGAGCCGGTAAAATAGTTACTCCTGCATCTCTACAGAATATAAGTCATAGTACATATGTGTGTCATTAATATACATTGATTATAATGAGGGTATCAAATGTATTCTATAATTATGATATATAGATATATACACTATATTGCCAAAAGTATTGGGACGCCTTTACACGCACATGAACTTTAATGGCCCCCCAGTCTTAGTCCGTAGGGTTCAGTATTGGGTTTGCTCCGCTCTTTGCCGCTATAACAGCTCCGTCTCTTCTGGGGAGGCGTCCACAAGGTTTAGGAGTGTGTCTATGGGATTGTTGGACCATTTGTGAGGTCAGGTACTGATGTTGGGGGAGGGGCTCGCAGTCTCCGCCTCTAATTCATCCCAAAGGTGTTCTATTGGGTTGAGGTCAGGACTCTGTGCAGCCAGTCACCTTCCTCCACCCCAAACTCCCCCATCCATGTCTTTATGGACCTTGCTTTGTGCACTGGTGCGCAGTCATGTTGGAACAGGAAGGGGCCGTCCCCAAACTCCTCCCACAAAGTTGGGAGCATGAAATTGTCCAAAATGTCTTGGTGTGCTGATGCCTTAAGAGTTCCCTTCACTGGAACTAAGGGGCCAAGCCCAACCCCTGAAAAACAACCCCGCCCCCCATAATCCCCCCTCCACCAAACTTTACACTTGGCACAATGCAGTCAGGCAAGTACCGTTCTCCTGGCAACCGCCACACCCAGACACCCCCATCGGATTGCCAGACAGAGAAGCGTGATTAGTCACTCCAGAGACCACGTCTCCACTTCTCCAGTGGCGGCGTGCGTTACACCACGGCATCCCACGCTTTGCATTGCACTTGGTGATGTGCGGCTTGGATGCAGCTGCTCGGCCATGGAAACCCATTCCATGAAGCTCTCTACGCACTGTTGTTGTGCCAATCTGACGGCCGCATGGAGTTTGGAGGTCTGTAGCTATTGACTCTGCAGACAGTTGGCGACTTCTGCGCACTGTGCGCTTCAGCATGCGCTGACCCCGCTCTGTCATGTGACGTGGCCGACCACTTCCTGGCTGAGTTGCTGTTGTTCCCGGTCGCTTCCACTTTGTTATAATCCCAGTAACAGGCGTCCGCGGAAAATTTAGTAGCCGGGAAATGTCACGGACGGACTTATTGCGCAGGTGACAACCTATCACAGCGCCACGCTCGTAGTCACCCAGCTCCTGAGAGCGACCCGTTCTCTCACCAATGTCTGTAGAAGCGTCTGCATGCCGAGGTGCTTCATCATATACACCGGGGGCCACGGAGGGGATTGGAACACCTGAATCCAATGATTTGGAGGGGGAGGGGCCCAATACTTTTGGCAATATAGTGCATCTATAAGTTGATTAGAATGAGGATAATAAATATATTCTATAAATAAAGGTGTTACATGTTTTTTATATTTTGTCCTCAGGATGATGAATTAGAGTTGGGCAGAGTTTGATTTAATGATGGATAAGTTGGGAGCCATGCTTTCCACAGACAGGGTGCGTCAATGGAAGAACAGACTATAATAAATCATGTATAGCATGGTTAAGTATATCTAATTGTATGACAAATGCTAGATGTATGGCTGGTAACAATGACCTAGGCCTCGGCATCCAATCATATTGTAGCCTATATGTTTCTATTATAACATTTCTTATAAAAAGGGTCCTGCCAGCCCCAATGAACTTACTTATGCCTGTTCCCGGCTGCAGCTGTTATCAATAAACCTTCTTCACAGTGCCTGGTCCAATCCTTCATTATTCTACTTCACTGTGCACCACTACGCACGATAGTGTTACCATTCATCATGGTGCGGTGCAATGCATGCGCATCAGAGGTCAGTAGCCTTAGTGCATTGGGGTGCCATTTGAAATCAACGTTGCAGATCAGTGCAAATGGGCTCCTTAATGTGCAAGAGAAACCCTAAGCACTATGCATATTGTACATCACGGGGGGGGGGGGGGGGGGGGGGGGGG